CCCAAGGAGCATTCTAGCTGTTCTTTTCCCAAGACGGATTTGCTTCTTCTCTCGGCAGTTCGTGGAACTGGGTCTGTGCTGGGTCCCTCGCGTAAGCTAAAAAGAAGTCACAAGCAAAAAGGGTGATGAACCTAGCTTGGACCTCTGTTCAAAAGTAAAGAGACTGCTTACAGGGCAGAGAACCCTGGTGGTCTAGTGGTTACAAGTCGGGCTGTTGGTCACAAGGTCAGCAGTTCAAAACCACCAGGGGCTCTGTGGGAGAAAGACAGGGCTTTCAACTCCTGTAAAAAGTCACTGTCCTGGAAACTCACAGGGGCAGTTCTACCCTGTCCTATAGAGTCACTACGAGTCACAATCGGCTCAATGGCAGTGAAAGCTTAAGGGCTCAACAAGCAAGAGCTCGCTAGCTCACGGAAAGGTTGGCAGTTCAAACCCATGCAATGGCTACGCGGGAGAAATGTCTGGCCCTCTGCTTCCCTAAAAAGTACAGCCAAGCAAACCGGATGGGACAGGTGCCTGTCATGTAAGGTCACCAGGAGTCACAGTTGATTGACAGCACCCGGCCAACAAAGGGGGCCATGGAAAGTCTGGGAGCTAAAAAGAGGTGGTGGCCCCAGGGCCTTGTGAATGTACCAACTGCTGCTGGCCCGGGCACTTTAAAAGGGGCGGCTGCATGCTGTGTGCTTCTTGAGAGGATGAACAGAGGGAGGGAAGAAGAAAAGGAAGAGCTGGAAAGAGAGAGAAGAAAGCATAAAACACATTTGTATTTATATCCCGTTCCCTCCATCCTCCGCCCACCCCCTCCTCACCCCACCCCACCCTGGGTCCTCTGCCAGTGGCCGGGGCAGGAAACGAGCCCTGGATCCTCTTTCTGGCCACCCTGGCCCAAGTGGGGGGTTGGGCATCAGAAACATGATGCTTCACCAACCCCGTGTCTGCCTGGGCTGGGACTGTCTCTGGGCGTGAGTGAGCAGGAGTGGACATTGGCCTCCAGGTGCTCCACCCTTTCAGCCTGTCCCTCCAAATCCTCAGCTGCCTCCCCCCACGCCCAGGCACCGCTGTGCTTAGGCGGTATTGGCTGCAAGGTGAAAGGTTCCCCTGGACTTGGGAGCCGTGGCCCCTCTGCCCAGCTCAGCCAGGGACCAAGACTCACAGACCACTGGTTTCTTTGGGCTGGCAGCCCAGGACAAGATGGACACAGTGAGGTCCTGGCCTGAGGTGACGCCAGCCTCCTGCTGGCTCCTCAAGAGTTCCAGGGGCTGTCCCACTGCTTGCCGGGAAGTCTACCATGAAAGCCGCTCTGTGCTGAACCCCACTTCTGTGAGCCCTGGTGCCAGCTTTGGGGGAGTCTGCTGGCTGGCTCACCTGCTCCTCTGGCAGGGCTGGGAAATCCCCTCCTGTGGGTGGATTAGCCAACTTTCCCTTGCCCAGTGGGGAGCTGGGCTGTGGGCAGGGAGGAGCCAAGAGGCAGTCTTGTTGTCCTGGTGGTCCATAGGACCCCAGCCAGGGCTGGGAGGAGGCACAGAAGAGGAGAAGGAGAGGGACCGAGGGCCCAGGAGCCACGCACACCCTGCTTGTGCCAAGCACCCTTCTCTGTGGCAGGGAAGGTAGAGGCTCTATGGGAAAGGGACCCGTCCTGCTCTTTCCTGGCCTCAGTTTCCCCAAGTGTCCAGGTGAAGTGGGAATGGAGCATCCCTTCAGTAGCCACTGCACTGAGCCCCTGTTTGCTCTCCTCCCCCCCACCATGCTGGGCTGTGGGGGCTGCATCCAATAAGCCCCCAGGACATCACAGTTCAGCATTTTGTACTCTTAGCCCAGCGGGTGGCAGCTGGGGTCCCTCACGGCATGGGGGTGGATATCTCCCAGGCCAGAGAAGAATGTGTCAGACCTGAGCCCTTGGACAAGCAGGAGGACAGGGGCGCGTCCCAGCACATGGCCCTGTTCTGTCTTTTTGTTCCTTTGGAAGCTAGGACCCTAGGCCAGATCTCCGGGCCTGCACAGCTGCTGGGAGGGAGTGACGGTGCGGTGCAGCGGGGAGGAGAGGTGGCACTTTGAACCCTGGCACTCCCGACCAGCCAGGAGGGCCAGTCGTGCACTGAGGCCAAGGACGAGGAGGACGGTGGGCTACGGAGGCCTGTCCCGTCACATTCCGGGAGCAGCCGGCCCTCCGTTCCTTGGCAACATCCTGAGAATCCAGCCATCCTGCTTGGGTTCCCTTCCCCTCCCCTCCCACTCGCCTGTCTGCAGGGGCGGGAGGCGGAGGCGAGCGAGCGAGTGAGCGAGTGAGAGCGAGCTCCATTATAAAAAGCAGCAGAGCTCACGCGCCGCGGCACTGAGTGCAGACGCCCGACCCTGGCCACCAGCCTCGCCCCGCCTGGACTCCCCCATCCACCTCCTCAGCCATGACTCTCCTACCGCGCTCCTGGCTGCTGCGCCTGGCTGTCCTCGGCCAGCTGACCGTCCTGCTGATTGGTGAGTGGGGCCTGGGCTTGGGCAGGAGCAGGGTAGGGGAGTCCACAGCCCACCTCCAAGCCCCATCGGGGGCCCTCCGAACCTCCCTGGTGGCCTGAAAGCTGACCCTTCTGAGGGACATGCTGGGAGGATATGGACCTCACTCCCTGGCCCGCATACAGAGCTGCCTCTCTGCCAGATGGATTTACCTCCAGGGGCTGTCACTGCCCAAGCCGGGAGCAAGGTGGCTCCCACAAGGCATGGAGGAGAGGTGGCGTGGATGTGGGGTGGGGTGGGGGGTGTCCACGGTGCCTGGTGAGGGAGTCCCCAAGGAAGTTCCTGGTGGGCCTTGGGCCGGTGGGAAGTCCTGACAGCCACTGAGCTGGCCTTCTCACCCCCCAAGGTTAATGGGAAACCTGCAGCCCTTGGCCAGGGCCCAGGTAGGACTTGATTCTGCCCTGATTTCAAGGGAGCTGGGGACCCAGGATTAGTGAAGGTCAAGGTCACTGCAGCCCATGCTTCCCCACCACCCTGTGGTCCTCTGAGCCCAGCTTAGCCCCTTACCCTCAGCCTCTGGCTCTCAGGAGTCCGGGACCTGGTAGGGCAAGGGGCTGTGTGTCCCACCCGAGGTCAGTAACAGGGAGCTTAGAGGACAGCAGGAGAGGGTGAGGCTCATTGAATGGGGTATAGGAGAGAGGCTCTGGGTGGGCCACCGCACCTCTGGTGACCATCCTGCCTCCCGGTACCAGTCAGCCCCTTCCTCAGGGAATGCCACGGGCATGTGACAGGTGGAGATGCAGGGGAGTGGGAGTGTGCCTGAGGTTGAGCGAGCACACATTCCCAGCTTCCAGTAAGTCTCGGCTCAGCGCCTCCTGTTGGGGGCTGCATGGCAGGGTGGGAGTGGGCGGGTGAAAAGGTGGGTGGGGGCATCGGGACTGTGGAGGTGACCGAGGGCTGGCTCCTTGATGCCTGTCATGAGCCCTAAGGCCCAAGGGACTGTGAGCACTGGACCGAGTCAGGCCTTATGCTGTGACGCCAGGCAGGCAGGTCCTTAACTCTTTGGTGCCAGCTACTGCCCCTCCTGAGAGGGTGAGGAGGTATCCTAGGAGGGTATTTTAGAAAAGGTGGAGGGTGGGGTTCCTTTAACGACGCTAGTGGGGAGGAGGAGTGCTTAGGTTGTTGAGGGGATCTAGAATGGGGATGTGGATGAGGGGTGCAGGCGGCTCCTGGTTTAGCATCCCCAGGCTCCCAGGCCCCCTGGTCCCTGCCCGAATCATAGCTGGGAGGCAATTGTTCACATGCTTTCCACCTCTCTGCACCTCTGTCTCCTCCAGTGAGCCAGGCTCACCTGGGAGGTGTCACCAGCCACCTGGGAGCTTGGGCAGGTAGGGGGAGGGGTGTGGAGGGGGGGATCCGGAAGTCAGGGAGGGCCCCCAAGGGAGGCTAGGGGGCTTCCTAGCTGCTGGCTTGGCTGGTGCAGGGGAGCTGCGTCAGTCCCAAATGTGGGTTTGCAGGCTGTGACGGGTGAAGAGCCTGCGCTTTATATAACAAACCTGCAGCTACAAGTCAGAGCTTTGCCTTCGCCAGCACTGACGCACGCCGCCCACTCCCGCCCCAGAAAGAGTGAAAACCTGTTTGGAGCTTTTTTTCTCCCCTGAATAGCGCCGGGGGTGGCTGGGCTGGGACGGCTGGGGACAGCGGCAGCGGGGGACAGTCAGATGAGGTAGAACTGGCCGCTTTATTTCTGCTGGCTAAGGTCTGTAGGCCACGGAAGGCTTGCTGGGGGTTAATTCCTTCCTTCAGTCATCCTCTCAACAAATGTTTAGTGGATGCCTGCTCTGCGCCGAGATAAATCCTATGACCAGATAGATGTCTATGTGTGTACATGTATGTGTATGTATGCATAAGAGCTGTACATGTACACACACATATGTTATCCAGTGCTGCAAAGACAGAGACACCACAAGTCGATGCCTTTCACAAGTAGCAACGCAGTGTCTCACAGGCTAGCATGCTCGGCGCCTGGCTCTATGCTGCTGGCTCCATGCTGCTGGCTCCGGAAGGCTTTCTCTCGGTCATCCATCCCCCATCCATCCAACCAATCATTCATCCAT